TGAGTGTGGAGAAAACAGTGCAACAATGAATGAATGAAAACCCAAAATCTCTGTAAATGTTCATTAAAACTAATAAAATTTAATTAAAAAAAGGTCACATAATATATAATCCCAACTCCACGAAATAATAAAAAAAGTTTATTCATCAAAGACAACAGAAATCAGTGGTTGCCAGGGGTTAGGGTGGGAAGGAATGGAAGCAAGTTCTTAATGGATATGGAGTTACCTTTCGGAGTGATGAAATGCTTTGTACCTTGACAGAAGCAGTAACTGCACAATATTGTAAGTGTACTAAGTGTTACTGATTGCTCATTTTTAAGTAAGTCATTTTATATGATGTGAATTTCACCTAAAAAAAACCCCTCCAAAACATGGTCTACCACAACAGCTACTAGCTATTTCCTTCATCTAAACATGTATTATTATTAAACTCTTGATCTTCAGAATTTCTTCTCATAGTGTTTGGTGTCAATTTAATAATGCTTAACTTTAGATTTTTAGAACCTTAAGATCTTCCACATTTCATTATTATCAGTTTTCTAAATGAAACCATCGATATTTAGAATGAAGCATAATAGAAGTTACTAACCTTTAGCGCGTCACTGGCCCTGCGAAGTTCCTTAATAACCGATGCTAAAGCTTCTGGGTTAATTCCTTGCTCACAGAGCCGAACACAAATAGCCAGAGTTTCCATATCTAAGCCCGTATTCAAAATTCTTGACATCTCAAGCAGAACTGAAAAAGGCATAAAGAAAAGAAAAAGTTACTCCATTTTAAAAGAAATATAGTATTTTGTTTCAATCAACGTATTACTACATCATTCAAGGAAATAGTACAGCATCCCAGATATGGAAGTGGGAATGCAATTCTGTTTGGCACTTATTTAATTCTAGAAATAAATTTACAATTTCCCTCCATTTAACTGCTATTATCATCCCGGTGTATATCTTACCCCAAAACTAATATCTAATATTTATCACAAGCAGGATTACAATGAACATTTCTCTATTAAATTGGGCATCTCATTACATTTCATTTTACCTAATAAGTTGCAAAGCACTCCACTTTATAGAAAGACCATACTTAATTACTATTCCAAGAGTTAAGCTGCTCTAATATTTCCTCCATAAAAAGAATATTGCAATAAGCCCTTTTATAAACTAATTTTATTTCAGTAGGATAAATTCCTAGAAGCGGAACTACTCATTCATTAATATACATATTTAACTAAGGCTTTACTAGTATTTAGACACAAAGTAACATTTATCTGTTGACTCAAATTCATAAAAATTTTAGCTTATGACCTTTTAATCTTATTTTTAAAAGAACCATCTTAATGTGGTTTATAAAAATAGCCTCTGGTATGGATTGCTTCAAAAGACTAGCACAGAGAACACAAATTTCCACAAGTCCTTTTCCAGGAATTCCTATTAGATATTTCCTTCAGTGAACTTTATTTTTTTTTTTTAAGGTAAAAAGTAAAGACAGATTTATTAGAAAGTTACATCCCACAGATGGGACACACTTTCTACCTTGGAAAGAAAATTTGGAGGAAACCTCACTGAACTTTTTATGCTGATTGTTTCTTACAGTGTATTTAAAATTGGTGTCAGCTATCAACAAGTTATGTATTGTTCTGTACCATAACCCCAAAGGCCCATGGTTAGAATCCACCAACTGCCCCATGAGAGAAAGATGGTTGGTCTCCCGTATGATTAAACTGCCTCTGAAAAATCTGGAGGGTCAGCTTTGAGTTGATTCTGACTTGATGGCATACATCATCAACATCATCATCATCCCTTGGCATTCTGTTTGAAAGGTAATTTTCCATGCTTACCTAAATGTACATAATTTTTCGGCAGAATTCTTTTCCAATAGTGGAACATTTCCTTTTCTTTTCCCCTTTAAATATTTAAAAGACCCCGCATGGTATTGTGTATAATACAGTGGGCTGCTAATTAAAAGATATTGCTGCTGTTGTTGTTTTGTGCCATCGAGTCACCTGCGACCCATAGCAACCATATGTACAGCAACTCTGAATCCTGCCCTGTCCTGAGCCAGTCTCACTAATTCTGACACACTAATCCCAGTCACTGTATCAACACATTGTATCCAGGGTCATCCTCTCCTACACTGTTCCTCCACCCTTCCAAGCATGATGTCGTTCTCCAAGGATTAGTCTCTCCCGGACACATGCCCATATTATGTGAGACAGAGCTTCAAAATCCTAGCCTCCAAAGAGAAATTTGTTTTCACCCTCTCCAAAACAGACCTATTTGTCTTCTTGGAGGCTCATGTTATGTTCTTGGCTCCAACATCACAAGTCGAAGGCATCAATTCTTCTCCTGTCATCTTTAGTCACTTTCTAACTCTCTAAAGCAGAACAAGTAACTGTGAGGCCCATGGCCCTTAGTCTCTAGACTGAAATCGTTGCTTTTCAGTACTGTGGAGAGGTTCCTGACAGCAGATTTTCCCAATGCAATTCATCTTTTGATTTCCTAATTCCTGGTGTTAAGAGTGTTGATGGTGGAGCCGAGCAACAACCTCAATCTTCTCCATCTATCATGATGCTGCCAATTGTCCCAGTGGTGAGAATCTTTGTCTTCTTGATATTGAGCTTCAATCCATATTGAAACGACAGTCCTTGATCTTCTGCAAAAAAACCACTTCAGGTCTTGTTCAGTTTCAATAAGCAAAGCTGTGTCATCTGCATAACGTAGGTTGCTCATGATTCTCTTTCCAATTCCGATGCCACATTCCTCCTCATAAAGCCCAGCTTCCCGAATGATCTGTTCTGCATACAGACTATAAAGGTAAGGAGACAGGATGCATTCCTGACACACTCCTTTCCTTATTTTGAACCATGCAGTACTGCTCTATTCTGAAGACTGCTTTCTGGTCCAAGTATTAAAAGATACACAGATCAAAGTCACCAGCTGCTCTGAGGGAGAAAGATGGGAAATCTCTTATTTATATGTGTAGCTTTTTAAACCTGACTAAAGATTGCTAAGCGTTACAATCAACTTGCCAGTAGTGGGTTTGGTTTAATTTTAAACATTCATATATATTTTAATTATCCATTGTTGTTGTTGTTGTTAAGTGCCATTGAGTCATAAGTGACTCATAGTGACCCTATGAACAAAAGACCTGGACACTTGCATAACTTTCATCCTTCCTCCAGGTTCATAGCGTTTCCAGAGGCAAGCTATTCTGGAAGAGGATGTCACTCCTGCTTCAAAGCTTGTTTTAATCAGGGAGCTCCACCAAACACTGTCCACCATGGGTAACCATTATCGCATTTGAGACATCAATATCACAGGGTTAGCTTCCCAGTCAGCACGAGTTACCTCTGTACAACAAGTGGACAGACCGGGACTATATGACCTAGAAGAATGGTAGACCAAAAACAATTAAAAACAGTCCTGCAGGCCACGGATTAGAGTCACCCACCTTTGGCTTGGTAACATCACTTTCTGTCCACTAGACCAACTGATCTCGCTCTATACTGTTGCTCAAGTATAGGAATCGAAATTTTTCCTTTAGGAAATATGCCAGTTGATTAAATCCTAGTTATTGAATTATCTATATTTACATTGTTTGGCTCATAACTATATTCCATACAATCTCATTTATACTTTCATACAACCATTAATATGCATTCTATTTTCTATGATTTATGATCCACACCTGTTATAACACCATCTTTTCAAGTCTCCATTGAATCTTTCTCATTCACACCCATTCCTCCAATCTACTAACAAAACTGCTACCCTCGTGATTTCCACCCGTCTTCTTTTTTCCATGCTCCTCTCTTTTTGCTTCTTCAACTTTAATTAGCTATCCTTTTATTTTTACAATTATGATCTTATGCTGTGTTTGTCCTTACGAGACTGGGTTAGTTCACGCAGTACAACGCTCTCCAGCCTTTCCCATATTAAATAGTATTTTATGAAACTGTTGCTCCTTAGTACTATAGAGTATTCCACTGTGTGAATGTTCTATAATGTCTCAATTCATTCTTTCATTGATGTGCATTTGGGCTGTTTCCATATTCTTGCTATCATGAATAACTCTACTAGAACACAGGTGTACATACCTATGTTTGTGTCTTGGTTCTCATTTCTGTGGGGTATATTCCTAGCAGTTAAATAGATGAGACTGAATGATTTATCCTTTTATCATTCATTTAAGATGTCACCATTAGTCCAGTAATATTCATATACCTATGGATTTGTATGTCTTATCTCACAGGAGTTTCACTCTTAACCCAAATGTGATACCTCTCCAATGGTTCAAATCTACCAGGATGTGATACAGGAAAAAGATGGGTAGATGGGTAATCACCTCGCAACAGAAAAGTCCATTGTCTGCTATTAGTTGTTTCCAACTCGAAAGCAATAAAAATTCCACTTTGCATTATGGTAGGTTAAAGATTTTTGTACTGTTTCTTGAGTTCCTTTAATCTTTAGATAAATATAAAGAAGTCAATTTCAAAAGCAAATTCATTTTGGATTCTGATTTAAATTAAATTAGTAAGAACAAGTTAACAATATCATCATTAACTTTATGTGTAAGTACCTTTGAAAAATTTTTAATGTACTCAGCAGACAGCCCTCCCACTTTTTCAACACATTGGCAATTTTCATTTCTATGAGTTAAATATGAAACTTTAAGAAACATCTTTTTTAATTCTTCTACTCTGCTTACTCTATAAATCATAGTTCAAATGTCCTTAGCTGATAATTCTAACATTTTTATCAGTTTTGGGTTTGCTTCAATAGATGATTTTTCTCATCATGGCTGTTTTTCCTCTGCTTTTTACATGCCTGATAAGACAGAGACATTATGTATTTTACCTTGTTGGGTGCTGGAGATTTTATATTCCTGGAAATATTCTTGATATTTATAATGGAATGCAGTTCTCTAGAAGCAATTTGATCCCTCCGAGTCTTACTTTTAAGATTGTGCTCCATCTGAAGCTCTGTTTACCCTAAGGCTAAATATTCTCATCACTGAGGTAGGATTCTTCTGAGTACTCTATCCAATGTCTTATGAATTATAAGGCTTTCCATACTGGCTGTTTTATTTAGACACTATAATTAGCTCTGTGCTAAGTGTGACGAACTGTCTCCTCTAAACCTTTTAAGAATCCTTTCCTCAGTTTTCAGTAGTTTATGCAGGTACATGTATACACACCCCCACCCACACACACACTCTTACAGATGCATGAGCTAATCAATGCTTTGCTAATGTAGCTGCTGCTCATAGGCGCCACTGAATTGACCATGACTCATAGTGACCCCATGAACAGCTCTGAATCTTGCCCTATCCGGCACCACCTTCAAGATCTCCAAGACACTGGAGACCTTTAGTGTAGTCACTGTGTCATCCTTTGCATAACCCTTACCTCTCAGGTGCTGCTATGTGAAAATCAAACTAACAAGTACTACTCCACTCTCCAAGCTCCAGCTGCCTTTGTCCCTGAACAACTCACGATGTTCACTAAGTTCTGAATGTGTTTCCCCCCTTTTGAAATAAGGCCTGGTAATTCTCTGAAGACAGTGAACTAGATACAAGTAAGATTCATTTCATTTTGTTTCCCTGTGTCCCAATGGTTGCTGTCCTTTGTAGCCTGACACTCAAATGATTAAAAACTTGTTCCATGTTCTGTCTAGTTTTTGTTGGCTCCTTAAGTAGGAGGGTAAATCTGGTTCCTATTACTCCATCCTGGCTAG